TTCACTGTTGAAAACAGTTGTGCTCATTAATATTTTTGTGGAGACCGTGATGCATTTTTTGGGATTCTTTGATGAATACAAAGATCATAAGAGCAGCATTTATTTAGATAAAACATTTGTAATGTTAAAAAATATTTCTATGTTTTTTCTGTCATTTTTAATCAATTTAATGCATTCTTCCAAATAAAAATACTAATTTTATTATATATATACACATACATACATTTTTTATTTTATATTCTTTGCAATGATATTTTCATGTGTAAATTATAAGCAGTTTCATTAATGATTTCAACCTTTCAACATTAATGCTAATGGAGGAATTTAGGCTTTTATTAATATAAAATGCCTCAGTTTAAGTAGTTTTTGCATGAATCCGTTTTGGATGAATCCATTGAACTCTCTGCATTGTCTTCAGTCTTGGTACATGTTTCTTCTTCCATCTGTTCATTTACATTGTGTAAATTAAAAAAGAGGCGAACAGACTTTTTAAACAAATGCACAAACACAAAATAACCAAAACGTGTCCCCAAAGAAGTCCTCAGTGGACATGTTTCACATTGTGGCTTTCAGCAAGATGACAGTCAAGAGAAGTGGAAGTACAAAAACACATATCACTGATGCAGCACAGGTGCCAGGCAATCTGCCCCAGCCAGTCTAACTTCACTGGGCATTTGAACACAACCCTGACTGTTTAATCATGGCTGATTATCTTCCTATATTTGCCCGCATTCAGAAATGGAATTGAAATGATCTCATTACACTAATTGACTTATTTCAGTCCGCAAAAAGTTGGCCCATATGTCTGTGTGAGCTTCAACATTCTGTTGCTTTCTTTCCTCTCTGGAATGTGTCGGGCCTGGGGGAGATTCACATTCAGACGGTTTATCAAATCCATCTGTTTCAATTTAAATATCAGAAGGCCTTGTTCTGTCAAGCGACAGCAGGGTAACAGGGTGCGCGAGGATTTCAGCGATCAGAGGGGAACTGTAAGGCTGTAAAACCACTGCTTATTTACAGCACATACAGATATTTACACCAGGATGCAACGTTTTCACAACAAACACAAAATCGTCAATGAATCAAACCTTATGGCAAAATTAGTGATACTAAAAAGCGGCAAACCACATCAAATAACAGCAGATCACATAGTATATGAAACCACATAATTCAACACAATTCAAAAACAGTAGTGTTAGGAGGTCAGAAAAGCATCACTCATCTTGACATCTCAACTTATCACTGGACAGAATAAAATTACACTACAGTTAAAAAAGATTTTTAATGTTTTTGAAAGTCTCTTATGGTCACTGAGGCTGCTTTTATTTGAACAAAAATACAGTAAAAATTGTGAAATTATGATTATTTTATTTTAATATATTTAAAATTTTAATTTATTTTCAGCAGTCATTAATCCAGTCTTCAGTGTTACGTGATTCTTCAGAAATCATTCTAATATGCTGATTTGCTGCTCAAGAAACATTTCTTAGTATTATCAGTGTTGAAAACAGATAAAAAAACAACAACTTTTATTTGAAATAGAAATATTGTGTAACATTATAAATGTATGTCATTTTTAATTAATTTAATGTATCCATAATAAAGGAATAATAATAAATAAATAAAAAATACTGTCCACAAACAAATTAGACTATCCATTTGTTGTCTAAAAAAATATCAGTCAGTGTCACAAATGATTACTTTGCATTCAAAATAATGTAAAAGCTTTGCCTTGATAAATCAAGAAAGAATATTTTGTGACAAAAACACTATATGTGACCCTGGACCACAAAACCAGTCATAAGGGTCAATTTTTCGAAATTGAGATTTATACATCACTGGATAAAACTGGATAAATAAGCTTTCCATTGATGTATGGTTTATTAGGATAGAACAATATTTGTCTGAGATACAACTATTTGAAAATCTGGAATCTGAGGGTGCAAAAAATCTAAATATTGAGAAAATCGCCTTTAAAGTTGTCCAAATGAAGTTCTTAGCAATGCATATTACTAATCAAAAATTAAGTTTTAATATATTTACAGTAGGAAATGTACAAAATATCTTCATGGAACATGATCTTTACTTAATATCCTAATGATTTTTGTCATAAAAGAAAAATCAATAATTTTGACCCATACAATGTATTTTTGGCTATTGCTACAAATATACCCCAGCGACTTAAGACTGGTTTTGTGGTCCAGGGTCACATATTTGGAAGAAATAAGGGTTCCCTTTCAAGGGAACTTCGAACTGCGTCCTCTAGGGGTCGCTATGGGGAATGCCTCGTCATGACCCGTGTCTGAAGCATACATTGAAAAAACACCAACAACACGTTGGCCGGCGACAGCCCATGACGTCACTACCGGTGCGACTATAGTATAAATAGGCACTGGGGGAACATATCATTCTCTTCTTCGTCTTCATTGACTGTTTTGTTTGAAGCGTGCATTTCCAAGGAAAAAGTAAGAGCTATCTCTATTTATTATGGCAAGCACTAGCAGAGCATTTAGAAGGTGTGTGCATCCGTGTCATCGCTATTTGACACCAGATGACACACACGATCTATGTGTTGTTTGTTTGGGCAAAGAGCATGCACGCGATGTCCTCGAGGGGGCAATCCGCGTTCATTGTGAGCGTATTTTAATGAAAAGCTCCGCTCACATTTGTCTCTCTTTTCGAGGAAAGGGGGGCAGCCATCTGCTTCCCGCGGCTCAGGACCCACCGCTGCTGAGGCACGGAGGAGGATGGGCTCGTGGGGATCGCAGGTGGATCCGGCTGATGAGTTTAAAAAGGTTTTTTTTCCCCCTCGCGCTCGTCGGCTGTGGACGAGAGTAAGCTGCTGGAGGATGATGTTATTTCTTTAACATCGTTTGATCCGGGGGCTGGTGCTCTGCTGGGTTCGGCCCGGTAAGAGCAGGAGATGTCTGAGGACGGCGAAGAAGCTGAGGCTGAGCCTTCCCAATCCGAGCCCGAACAACATAGGGGTCCTGGTCCGTCTCGGTCTGAGGATCAGAGACGGGCACAGAAGGCTAGTGTCGCAACTCGCACTACTCCTCCGCCCATGGGTAGGGGAAGGAGGAATCGTGGGTCAAAGGGAGGTAGGCAAGACCTAAGGGATGTGATCCAGACAAGGCGTCAGCGCATTCGTCCGGATCAGAGTGATACTTAAGTATCTACTCATTTCCTTTCGGGGTTTTACATCTGCCCTTATCTTCCCCTTCCTAATTCCCCTGTAACCACCATCTCTCCACCTG